AAAGCAGAATATTTTTCTGAGTACTTTGATACGTAAAATCCTTTATATTTTTATTTTTCATATTAATTCTATGTGTTTTTGTTTATCTTTTGTCTGACACTAGAAACAAACTGATGATTTAAATAATTATTGTAAAAATCTGTTTGTTAACTTTTATTTCATCTTACACTTTATACAATATGTTTGTTAATGACACAGTAGTGTCAAACCCATATATCACTTCACTTCTTAAATAGAGATTGCTAAAAAGAAGGTGAGTGAGTGGGTGGTAACATAAAAATGTTAGATTTCTCTTAACAAAAAGTTTTCAGAGTTTTRCACTTATAATGACAGAATATTTCTTATTGATTTTTGTGATTTTTTAAGTGTTATTTATGGTTACTGTTACTTTTTACCTGATGTTAAAATAATTATGATGTTACACAGGAAAAGAAGCCGAGAATGCCACATTGTCTCACGGTGTTATTATGTGTCAAGCAATTAAAAAATATCATGATGTGACTGGTTATCAGGTACATAATTATATCTTATTATAAAATTTTCTGTTACAAATTGTAGGAATTTCTTTAAAGTATAAAACTTTTGTTAAACTATGTATGTAGGTTGGTATTAAACCYGCTGGAGGAATTAAATTTAATGAGCAGGCACTTAGTTGGCTTATATTGGTAAAGAACCAATTGGGAAATGATTGGTTGAAAGCAAGTTTATTCCGTATTGGTGCTTCCAGTCTACTAGAAGATGTTGTCAAAAGATTAAGTATTGTCTTGAAAAAATTGCAGACAAACTATAAATAATATTAACTCAACTTTCATTTTTTTTAATTTAAATTTTATATGCTTTTTGTGAAAAAATCATACAATAAAAAACATAATATATGATTACATTAGATAGTTGTTATTTAATATAACTAATGATAGTATTGAGAACATTAATTGATTGGCTAGGAATTGRAAGGACTATCGCAGCCCAAGACTAATTAAAATTTGATCATTTAACTATATATTGAACTACATGTCTATTTAGTTAATAGTCATTTAAAATATTTGATTATTTTTTAGTTTAGTTTTAAAATTTTTATAAAAAAAAAAACTATTACCTACTAATTAAAATTAATATTTTGTTTATGATATATAAGTATAACTCAAGGTGGAATGATACTTTACCACCTTACTACCTTAGTATAAACTATATTATATTTTTTATATAATTCTGTTCATATATGAGCATTATCTGCATTTCTGATCAAACATTTATAAATTAATTTAATATTCTACCTGTATAGTACTTGAAAGAATTGAAGGTTAGTCTATAAATAATAATATTATTACTGTTAAAACTAAATTATTATATTTTATGATATACCTAATCCAAATAAAATACATACTTGTATTGTTTAAAAAAATGTAGTATATTTGTACTATTTTTAAATGTCTTAAATCTATTCAATGGGTTTCAAAAACGGTTTTTAAGATATTTATATTATGTAATTTATTACTAATATCAGTGGTCATAAGTAGCAACGTTCTAGAGTTATTTTAATATTTGATTAAAAATACAATTTTTTGTGCTAAATTAAGTTAACACAGTATATTATTATTTATTTTACAATTGTAGATAATTTAAAGTTTATCAGCTTTCCCCATACTCTAAGATACATCTTAGTTCATGGCCTTCCCTGAGTGTTCACAATTGATAAGCTTTACAAAAATGTAAGTATCAGAAATTACGGAATTGATGCATTTAAAGGTAAAACCATTTGGCCAAATAATAATTTTAACTACAAATAACACAATTTTAGTGTCCTATATGATGAATCAGCATCATTAATTATGTCATTATGCTGCTATTAATGACATTTCGAATACATRCACATAACTTATTGCAGAGACTGTCAAAATAGTTTTTGCTTTGAAACAAGTAAAAAAAAGTTTGTCTCCACAAGAATCCCTGCAGTAATTCAAACTGAACATATTTAATTAAACAGTTACAAATTTTAATAGAATCTACTTTTTAAATTTATTATTTCACTCAAAWWACTATTTAACATAATTTAATTCTGCTCAAAATAATGATTTACTGACTACCTACATAAATACTAAACTCGTTTATGTTGAAAATTGCTTTAAGACTTCTAATTACATTATAGTATAACAGTATTATTCAAAATAATGGGAGGCAGAAAGAAAATTACTAAAGCAACAACCTATATAAGCTTTCAAGTTTTTCGGAGTTGGCTTATTTCATGGGCGGTGGACATGAGCTGAGCTTATCCACTGTAAAAATAAGTGAAATTATTTACTTGATAAAATGTAAAAAAGATAATGTTAAAATATTATTAATAAAATATTTGTTTTAATGAACTGCATGCAAATTGGATGATTACTGTTTTCATTCTACCACATAAACAAGAAACAATGAATCCACAATAAAAGCTTTAATCAACAACCTTCTAGATATGGTCATACAATTGGTGAAATACAGTAAGGAAATACTTTTAGCGTGATTTTTAATAGCACATTCTATCCATAATTTGATACTTCGGTCTCATAAACACAGGTTAGGTTAGGTATACATTACAAATCAAGAAAMAAATATTGCTTWTCTTTTATTTAAAAATTAAGTAAAACAATTATTCGTTGGCACCTATCAAATCTATTCATTGCTATATTAATTTTTTCAATTCTTTTGCAATTTTTGACATTAAATTGTTATAGAGAATCATCTTTTTTTATGGCAGAAMATTTTACATTTTGTATTATGCCCTTTTTATATAAATAATAATATAACATTTCATTCAATAAAATTATATTGTTTGTTATTTATCCATYGTCTATGAACACTAGTATCAAGTACTATTCATTCAAGTTATCAATAAATTATAATAATAATCAATTTTTATTCAATATAAATGTTGTGTTTCAATTAATAATATATATTATTGCTTAAATGTTAAATGTGTTCTGTACATTTTTAAGTGCATACTCATAATTTTTATTTATATAGATCATATTATTATAAATGCGTTTAGTTTGTATACAAATTGTTTTTTTTTAAATAGGCATGGCAAATTTTTACGATTAARTAATGAAAAATTAATAATTATACTAAAATAGTATTTATTTAATAGATCTTATGTATAGCAATCA